CACAGTCACTGTTGGGTCGGCGTATCGCTTAAACTTGATATCGTAAAAAGTAATGATTTCAATTAGTTAAGTTAAATATTAATTTTTGTTACATAAATACGTTAAATTCAATAATTGGTTGATGTCTTGTATCGTTGCAAAAGTAAATACTTTGTATTTTTGCAAAGTCAGGTTATTCGAATCGGAGATGTTGTGCTATAGCAGTGTTTACTCAGGCGGAATTATTTTCAAAACACAATAGCAAGACAATATTTTATTCGGATATGTTATTGCAAACGATTTGACACATTAAGCCCGAGCTGAGGGGCAAGCAAAGCTTTAAACATCACGAGTTTTAATAACGTCGTCTCTGTAACACACGATGTCGTGTGACATATTTCCGAGAAAATTGCGCATTTTTTATTTTGCACAAGAAGTCATTTTCATACGTCTAGACACAGCCTTATATTATTAATAACTGTCGTCAGCAGGTCTTTAGATCGCGTTTATATTAGGAACAATTGTTATAATAATTGTAACAAACCTATATATTACAATCTACTGTTATATACAGACTTCATCAGAAGGTCTCCTAGTTTAACCTCTTTCAAAAAGAATGTCCATGAGCTTCTTTTAAATTGTTTGTCACAGCGGTAATCGTCATCAACATCTTCTGTTATTGTATGTATTATAATATATAAATTATATGTACTATATGTATTATGTATATAGATAATATGTATTTGTTGTCATTGACTTACAAATAAATGGACGACGGGTCTAATACAAAAACCACGAAAAAAATGTCCCAAGTCAATCTATTTAAACGTAGTGACATGTAAAGGAATATGAAAAAGCTAAAACGTTAGATTTAAATTGTAATGTCATCGCAGTACTGTCTACTTTTGCTTGCTTCGCTGTCAGTCGAACAAACGAAGACTAAAGCGTGAATGACGCTCTGTATACGATTTTAACGCCCTATAAGTTCGGACACTTTTTAGCGCGGACCCGACGTCCATATAATTGTAAGTCAATGTTTGTTGTACATATATTTGATTATATATTTATTACATTATTAATTTAATATTTTGTTTAATTTGCCGCATTCGTGAATTTCGTTTTCCTCAAAGGCTGACCGGTAGAGAATGCTTTAAGCGTTAAGTCCGCCTTTTGTACCATTATGTGTTGTGGTCAATAAAACTTAATAAATAATAAATATAAAAGATATACGCTGTTAGAGGTTTTTTTTTATGAAACCAAGTAGGTAACAGGACGAACAAGTCGTGCGCCTGAGTTTAAAGAAATTAAAATTTTTTTACGATGTCTGCCCATAGCAGTTGTAATGCAACTCAGAGCTTTAAATCGCAGACACATAAGTTGACAAATCTCATGAGTCTGCTAATTCACCAGCACCCTTCCTATTCAAAACCGGAACGAAATAATGGTCACATTACCTACTGCTTGGTGGCAGAAATAGGTTATTTACATATATCAGGCAATTTAGCTGAAGTACTAGTATATATGTATATAGTATAGTAGAATTGTTGATGAGTTTACAAAGAAAAATAAAGAAATATTTCGTAACAATTCTACGAAACTTTCAGATTTTTGTAATCACGCATGCGTAAGGGTCGTTCATAACTGAAAAAAGGCAGTGACTCGAATATATTCAGCCTGGCGATTAATTTTATATAAATAAAATGTCAGACACGCTTCGTCGTGAAATAAATACAATTCAGCAGCATTTAGCATTCCGCGAAAAAATACCGAGACTCGGTGTGATCTCGAAAATTCTGGAAAAATAAGACTTTCGAGACATTTCAAAAAGCGGATTCCATACTTCTTGAATAAGCGTTCAGGCAGACAAAACGTTAGAGATTTTAATCAAGTCATCAGTGAAAGTAGTACTTCCAAAAGCCGTTCCACAGAGGCGCACGAGGGGCACATTTTAACATAGTAACCCGTATAAATATTTTAAAGTTTGCTCGTCTTACAAGGGCAATAAGAATTAATAGCGCTTTTGTAGAGGTATTTGCATGGTCATTGTCGGAATTCGTGAAGATAACTTTGCACATTCTTTCTGTTACTTCATAACACTGTTGAATTGGGATTTTTTTAACGGGACTCAGGTCTCACATTGACTCTTAAATGGATATCTTAAAGACTAACATAATAATAAACTATTTATTTAAATTTGTGTTGTATTGATGTTCAATTTTTTTATAATTATTAATACAAAGATTCCTTCGTAAAGTTACCTAATTGGGTGACGAAATACTTTCATAGATTTCTCATAGATGGCGCTACGTCTAAAAAGTCGTTGAAAAAAACCAAATAAAAAACCAAACCAACAACAAGCACATAGAAAAATTCGTGAGGTCCGCTAGTTTGTTCCGTGGCTTAGGTGGCATAGCGTCTAGCACGGTTTGCTGGAAGACGTAGTCGGTACGAATCCGACCGGATCGAAGGAATTTTTTCTACGTGGTCGATCTTTGTATTAATAATTAAAACTCTTTATTTGTTTCTACGTACGCACTGCGGCGTGTGACGCAACGTGGGTTAACCGGTCCGGTAACCGGCCTTGGGCTCTTATAATTTGCAAAACGTCCTGCAATGACATTGTTAATATATTTAAATAAATAAACAAATAAGTTTTTTTCTTTAATAACTGCAATTATCAGATAAAAATAATTTAAGAAATATTTATTTTTCAATTTTATAGCGGGCATGTAAGAAATAAAAGGCGTGTAATATAATTGCAAATAGAGAGGACCTGATTTTATTATTATGGTTCTTCAATCTCCACAGATTGCACAACCACGTCTACGTCACTAGAACAAAAAAATGAGTAAATTTTTTATTATCGTATATTGGCTTAGTTGATTGCGGAATCCACCAAACCCATTATACGATATTAAAAAATCTACTCAAAACTCAACTAAATAGAACGCGTATAGTATACGATTTATTCATTTTTCAAATGTCTTTCTTTTTGTTTGTAAAATAATAAATTCTGAAATATAGCCAGTAGCTCAGCCGCTCGACCCAAGAAAAATGAACCATATTACTACGGGAAAAAGTTGCGTTTGAACTGAGGTTAATATCAACTCTTAAGTGTTTTAACTCGAGACTAGCTACTGGGCTATTCCAAAACAAAAATTACCGGGATGAAAATCCTGATACCAATTTTGATTATTTATAGATTATAGGAAATGAAACTATTTTTCCGGATTTAAATCGCGTAGGTATATTTGTTTTTTCAAACAAGCCAACGTTTCGGGCCCTTTACAGGTCTCATGGTCACGGTTGACCATTTCCTATGTGTAACAATCGCGAAAACCTAAGAACTCGATATTTCTAGATTATTTTTCTTTATGGGATGCATGAAACGCGCCTCCTCCCACGACGTATCATATCTTTACTGTAAATCTGGCGCAACTTGGATAACAGTCATAGAGTACCTTATGCCGATTGTGCTAACTCTTTTAACGATAACTAGCATTATAGTGTATGCTATCGATAAGATAAGAAGTTTTCTTTATCAATTATTTTTTTTACTTAATTAAAGTATTTTGGGAGGCATAAATAAATTCTTTGATTGTAATTTTTCCTTGTTCGTAATAATTATATTATAATTTTGGTGTTATTAAATACGCTTGAAAACTAGAAGTGTTAGAATAATAATAATAATTCTATTTTCCGTCATTTTAAATCCATAACGTTTCATAGTTAAAACGTACTTAAAAACTAATGTTAGTGTTAACATAATTGGGTATGTGTTTTGTACACGAGAGGTCATTGTCCGGGCATGCATCGCTTCCACCGCACCAGCATTGGAAACTCCCTACCTGATCTTTTATTCAGTATGCCGTTCGTGGTCAGACGCATGCCATTTTTCAGCGCTTTGCTTTCGGACAATAGCATAGTAATCGTCAGCAGCGAATACGGTTGACGCTCTACAAAAATGTGGAGGTCGGGACAGCACCCTGAATACCGTTGTTGTGCGTTATGTGCTGTATATCCTCTGCTTGTAGTCAAATAGACTGTAGCGTTTAGTCAAATACCTTCCTAAGACCTAGCAATCTTCAATGGGAAAAGCGTGAAATGCTTAATGTACATTAAAATGTACTAGGTAAATATAATTACATGCTTCAGGCCTAATGAGGTACGCTCCCAATTTGGATGAAATTTCAAAAACATATGTTTCAAATTTAACGCTATATGTTGACTACATATAGCGTTAAATTTGAATATGATATCATAATGTACACTGGGCATTTACGTGATTATAGGAATAATATTGTCTGGGTCTGAATATCTTCACATATTATGTACATTTTGATGCACACCCGCTTTAGGAGGTTAATTAGACTAAGGCCCGACGCCCAGTGAAGGGACGGGGCGGCAAGGTATTAGGTGACGAATAGTAATATACCTTAAGATTATGACATTATAATTGCAATTTCAATGATAATGATCGTAGCTGCAAAACAAAGCTGCGGCAGCCTCCGGAATGCTTTGGAAGTGCGACTATACGGGTATGCGGAGCGAGGGGAGGCACGCACGGTAAGACTGATGGAAGAGAAACCAGGCGCGAGCACGATGTCGCGACAGATCTAGGGATACCGCGGCATAATTGCCACCAGGGCTTACATGTAGGGATGCCGAAGGATCTCTTGCCGAGCCATTACGACGAAATAGCGTATTGTATCCTACGAGAGAGATGGAAAAGATTGAATCTCTTTTGTTTTTGTTCAGCGTGTCACTAAAGTTAGCTAATCTCCTCCTTATCATTTCGCATTTCGGTAACTTTTGAGATATTGGCATCTAAAGTTTCTTTCGCTAGTAAAAATGACAATCAAAGCAAAGACAAAAAAAAGCAAAGACTGAGAGAGCAGCCTCGCGAGGTAAATGCTCGGTAGGTTTTTTCGCGCGGCAGTCTCCCTACGTTGCCGGTCGTAATCATAAAATCGTCGCGCTTCGGTCGAGGCAGCCTGGCAGTAGTGACATAAAAAACGTACCTTATTAACAGCGTCGATGTAAGCGCCTTTGTCCAACAACAGATCAGTTACAGCTGTGTGGCCAGCTCTGGCAGCTAGGGCTAACGGCCCGTCACCAGCTGCGTCGCACCCTTGCACTTTAGCTCCCAGTGTGATAGCGTAGTCTGCAACTTCTACAGCACCGCGAGCGCACGCACATTGCAGGAGATCGTTTTGTTTCTGTGGACAATATTTCTGTTATTACTTGACGATGCGTGACAGTTATTAACAAGTTTAGAGAAAGTAGGTCTAGCACGAAAAAGCGAGATTTGTGCGAGAGCGACAGAAGGCGCGAGATTCTCTAAGTGAGACAGCAGAATCTTGTGTTTTATGTCTCTCTCGCGCAAGTGGCGCCCTGTCGTGCTAATCCTACAGTTCACCTTCATACCGTTACACCAATTGCCCACGTGGCCGACCGGTTATCATGCTGGACTGCCACGCAGAGGTCTCGGGTTCGATTCCCAGGCTGAGAGAAACATTTGTCTGCCCCTATTTCTCTCTTGAGTTTGGGTGTAATTTGTACGGCACGGAGGCAGTTAGTAAAGTAAATTAGGTTGGAACTTCATTCATAATACTTTTTTAATATCTATAATAGAAACACACATTTTCTTACATATTTAATACTGATATGAGTACGTTACCGGACGTCGTATTTACAATCTTACCTACATGATTGCGCTAGTTCTCCGTACACTATAACATGGAAAACAGGAGTGTGGCTTCACGGTAGAAATAGGTAGGGCGGCGTTATCTAACCGGCCGAATTCTGCACAGTGAACCCTATTTCCTATAAGACAATGCTTAATCTTGTGTTCAACTCAGTGAATAAGTTGGGACAAGACTATTAATAGTTACACGAACAATACATGAAACATTAAGCGGGTAACTGATGACGAGAAGGCGTGAAGTCTATAAAGTGAAAGCGGTGATAACCTGAGAAAAAACTTATTGGCTGGGAGCCGGTTCAGTTTTCATAATATACTTTTTGACAATGAACACATGACTAAAGTATCTTTGTTATTATTAAAAGTAGATTAGCGCGTGCGACACGCCTATCCTTGACAGTTGTTGTGCCACTCAGAGCTTTAAATCGTAATATAGGCATTGTTACTGCGCCCATCACCCTGAGACATAAGTTGACAATAGAGATGCCACGAATATTCGGCTACTATTCGGTATTCGGCCTATTTGACTACTTTTTTAATAATTATTAACATAAAGATCGAACACTCACAAAAATTCTTTCGATCCGGCCGAATTCGAACCGACTTCTTGTAGCATACCGTGTCAGACGCTATATCAACTAAGCTACGGAATAAACCAGCGGACCTCACGAATTTTTCTGTGAATGCTGTCGTGTCTTTATATTTGGTTTATTCAACGACTTTTTAGAGGTAGCGCCATCTATGAGAAATTTTAAGTATTTCGTCACTTAGTTAGATACCTTTACAGCTACCAGCTCTGGCTTTTTACTGTATTTTTTATATTCGGTAATCGGCCGAATACTATGACTGTTCGGTCGAATATCGAATATCAAATAATGAAAAAAAGCATATATCATTAAAAATGTATCATGTATTTTAATCACAAATTATTGCTTTAATACTTAAAATAATCAGTGGCAGGTTGTGATGA